GCATGACCCAAAATGCTGACCCATCCAGTTCTAAAACGCTACTTTCTCACTTCTATACAATGTGCCATAGACCCCAAGTTGCACGGAACCAATCCTGAGTACTGATATGCCTGCAATGGGTATCAATAACATGTTTTGATGAAAAAATAACCTTCACTTCTAGGGAATTATCCCACCAGAGACTTAGGCTGCCCGCCATGCAGGGGCACATCGAATCCCTTCACAAAGCCCATCCTTCTACGAACCCCCAACAAAGCCACAGTCATATAAATTAATGATGAAATATATATCAAACCCCACAAATCTGTCCTTGGATCCAAATGGATAAACTCCACCAGAGAGGTATAGTCACCGTTAAAAATGATAATTCCAATTTCTCAGCAGAAAATTAAACTCCAGACACGACATTTACCAAGTGGCAAGCAGAAAATTGCCAGGCCAGAAGTTGGCTGTTTGATGAAGTGGTTCTTCCGGTATGACAAGATTATGATCTTCATAAGCGGTCATTCACCATGAAGCAGAATGGAGCTCATGTTGGTAACTATTACAGCGATCTCACTAATATTCTTCAAGAACTTGATCAACCAAAGTCCTAGACGTACTCCTTGCAACAAAAACGATCCAGATGTTATCTGAACCACACAAACAAGAGACTGAGTGTCTTCGAGTTTATTTTTTCCTTGCGAGATTAGGATCAGCAAAACTAAACTCTTTTTTAGATTTTCAACGGAAAACAGCATTATCCAAATGCAACTTTTTCGGATGTGAAATCAGACTTGTGAGCAGTCATAGTTATGCCGTCATTTTGTCGTCGTACAACACCAAATCCCTTGTGGTGATAAGTAACAAGATAAAAAAGAAGAAAGACAATATTTTGGAATTTTGGACAAGCTTTTCTTGTACTTTTTTTAACTCATTTTTGGAAGGGGATTTCTTGTACTTTTTTTTCTCTATGAAAAAAACTATAAGTCAATTTAAAAAAAAAAAGTCACCTAGCCGGCCTAACCCGGCCTAGACGCAATAACCAATTTTTTTTTTTAACAAATGATAGTATTACACTAAGGAGGTAGAAGAGTGGGCTAAGCCTTACAATGAACTAGCAGTAATGTGGTTCAAATTCGTCTTTGGTGAGAATTGAACCTAAGATCTCTCACTTACAAGGGAAGTAGAATACCACTAAACTGTAGTACAAAGTGGCTACCCGATTTTTTAAATGCCTAGAAATTAATTGTGGCAGTAGCCAACTGCCTAGATTGCTTTTTAGAACATCGGTTCACGCTGTTACTTTCACCATGTGTCCTTTACCTTTCTTCATTCCTAAATTCCTCAACCAAAAATAAAAACAAATTGATTATCAAACGAACCCTTAATTTTAATTTTGTATAAATTTGGTAAGGCCTTATAGAAATCTAAAGCATTTCCCTGTGGAAGTCAAACTTGAAATTTACTAATTTGTTTTTGCTACAATGGATGTGATTGTTCTGCACATGCCATTTGGTTTTTTTCTACGGATGATTGTGTATCCAAAACTCAAAAGAGTAGTTGTACTAGTATCAATGTGTCCATGTTGTCCTTAACGTCTTGCGGTCATTCGAAATGCTATAATGGTTATCTATGCTCATTAAATTTTAGCTCAATTGGAAGTTTAGTCCTTCAATTAAAAATTTGTGAACATTGGTTCTTGAACTATTATAATATAGATCAATGGTTATTTTAACTAACCCTATAACAACTTTCATCCATTTTTTGCTCTTTAAAGCCTTTATTTTTTTATGGATTTTCTAACGGAGTTAGCCAAAAAACCTATTGCTCCACATCATAACAACTCCGGATTTTTAGTTTAGGAATCAAAATTCCGATTGGGCCAAAGTTTTGAACCATTGCTTTTGAATTCAAATAATCAACCGAGAATTATAGTTAGAAAGTTTTTACTTGATTCACATTTTGATTTTAGGATAGTACTATTCACACACCTATTTGTACCTTTCACACACTCTCATTAATCTTTTGTCATTAATCATTTCAATTCATTCGATTTGATGGCCGAAAATTGATTGAGGTGTATGAGAAGTAAAAATGGTGTATGAATAACATTACCCTTGATTTTATATCAATACAAGAAAGAGGATCCAAATGCATCGCTATATAATGTTCTGTACCTAGAGTTTCTTTTCTTCCTATTTTTCTTTTTCATAATTCTATCAATAAAATCCCAAATTATGTTTATACTTTAATTCAACGAAGGGAATGCTGTAAAGATTCAATTTGCATAGCATACTGTGTTCCTCAGAAAATTTAACGTGTAGATCTGAGTGTAAGTGTAACATGGACAACCAAAAGAGCAACACAGAAGGATTCGATATTAAAAAATCTTTTTGTTTCTTTACATTCTCTTTTCATTCATTTCTTTTCTTTTACATACACAGTAATCACAAACATATTATTTAGTATTCAAGTAACACGTCTAAATTTAATACATCATTCACGTATTTTTTTTTCAATATATTTTATAACTTGGAAGTAAAAAGGGAGGCAACATCCCTATATAAGTTACATGGTCAAAAAGTTTGTCGTAGATATTGAATAAGGAAGTTGAACCTTGGTAGAGGTCAAGGCTTTTGTGCAACAAACAATATCATCGTGGACTTGTGTGACAATTTCGGAGACCAATTTGTCAATGTCTTTGATCCCTTATAATGCGAGAACGAAACTCCCTAGCACAAAATCATATGAATTTGCATACTATTTTATTGCTCCAAAGCCATTAACACTGTTGGCGGTGTCGAGCGCATTTCCAAAGAAAGCAATTAATGAATGGTAAAGTGATTACAAATTATTTGCTTGGGTTCAGCAATTAATGAATGGAGTATCATACTTATAAGCAACCTAAGGAGTGCATGTGGGTCTAAATGGTAATGTTAGGGAGACTAACTATTTAGATCAAATTTTGTAAACTATATGACGTGGTTGTTGATGATTATATTATTACTTAAGTATTAACGTGTTTATTTTGTATTGGCAACACATCACATAGTTTGCAAATTTAGTCTAAAACTTTGGTGTGCCTAGCATTTATCTGGTCTAAATTTAGGAGCGTAGAAGGTAGAAGGTGGAGAAACCTATTTCTTTTGATGTATTTATGCACCTCATTTTTTGTTTATTCCCTTACGTACTAACTAATAAGTTAATAACACATTAGATGCAAACCAGCTAATATTCCACTTTAATTTGTTTGAGCTAAAACCAACTCCCTTCTAGAAACTCCAGCATAACAAAAAGTAATGCATGCTTTACAAAACCACGAACAACACTAACATAAGGATTAATTTTTTTCTTTACATCACAAGGATTAATTTAAGCCACCTCATTTTTTCTCTACAAATTCATGATATACAACCATATTTACTTCCATATATATGATGTATAGATTTCTGAAGAATCTAAACAAATTTATATTTGTTACAACGGATTTGAGTGCTTTGATCATTAGCGAAAGTACATATAAAATACAATATCCAACAATATGCTTTACTAGATAAAAGTTGGCATATTTTTTTGGGGTTTTTGAACATTAGTCCTTACAAAATATTAAAATTTAAAAAAAAAACCTGTTGCTAGATTAAATATTCAATTTAATCCCTTGAATAGTGCTTTTATCAAAATTTACATTCAATTTTTGTTATTTAATGTGTATTTTTATTTAATCTCTCCATATTAAATTTTAATTTTATTAATATGCACATATTTAGTTTTTAAATTATAAATGAACATAAATGACAAAATATTAAAAGACATTTGTGATACAAAAATATATAAATGCATAAGTGTACAGAAATAACTATGCCGAAATATATAAAATTGACTTTTTTTGTACCGAAATATTTGTACCTACATGATTGTACCGAAATATATTATAATGAACCTAAATGTATGTACCGAAATGTATTATTGAATTAATGTACCTAAATGTCAATACCGAAATCTATGTACCAAAATGTACGTACCGAAATGTATGTACCTAAATGTCAATACCAAAATGTATGTACCTAAATAACAATACCGAAATGTATGTACCAAAATGTATGTACCTAAATGTATTTACCGAAATATAATATATTGAATTAATGTACCTAAAAGTCAATACTCTAATATGTGTACCAAAATGTACGTAACGAAATGCATTATATTGAATCAATGTAACTACATGTTTGTACCAATGGATATACTGAAATATTCAAATATATTAATGTACCTAAATGAAGAACATACAAAATTGTTATCGGAATATATATTATAAAAGAATTAGTTACCTAAATGTAGACATTAAAATATATTATGATGAATGAAATAAAAATTAAATTTAAATGTAATTGATACATTAAAATAAAAATAAATAAATAAATAAAACATCAAAATATAACTAATAAATGATATGATTAAATGTACTAGGGACTAAAATTGGATTTTAATCTTACACAAGGTTAAAGTCTAAAACTCATCTTTTTTAAGGATTAAAATGAAGTTTTCTATATTTTTTTCCTTTTAAGTGCGACGGCATCTGAAGGTTTCCATCACCCATTCCTAGGGCCCCCCAACCACCACCATTCATCGGCATCTCTTTTCTCTTCTCTTGTTATTGTGCACCGAGCTTGTCATATAAACCAAAAAAGAAAACAAATAAATACAAACCTGATCGCATCCACCACTCGACTCTCCACTCTCGCAACAATGAACATGAATAGTCCCTTTGAAGCTCAAGGCATAGCCCAGGCCAACAATCCTTATGTCCATTATTCATCTGTTCCAGCGACATCGAATTCTTCTACCAAGCGTTAGTGTTTCCATTGCTCCCTTGTTTCTGTACATTTCTCTTAAAAATTTCGTTTGCCTTCACTTATGAATATGAAGCATAACATCAATCCTTCATTTACGATCATGGTAACTAGTTAACCTTCATTTAAATAAATAAAGGAAAATTTCTTTTCGGAATTTTTTGTGCTTTAGTTTTATCCATGCTTACAGAAGATACTTGGTTTTTTACGTGTAAAGAGCTTATCAATTATAGTTTGTTGGGTTGGCATAATCCTTTTTTTTACGTTATTTCATTAAGTCTGAGAATGTGATTAGGAGATAAGTTGGAACTATTGCTTTTATTTTTAATGTTTTATTTTTATTTTTATTACTTTGTGCTGCAAGTTCGATGGCTAATATGTATGGTTGAGGCATTGAGCTAGTGCGGTAAAAGGGTTGAAGTTGCCACCATAAGAGTAGAGGCCATGGTGGACAATGTCTGGGACCACTGTGAGTTTCCTCTTTGTGAACTCCTATGTTACTCCCTTGCTATAAAGTTAGAAGAAAATTTTCAATTTGTTAAGTTTACAATGTTGGTAGAACCTCCCTACAGAATTTCCAATTGATTGACCTTTATCGATCTGTTGGAATTTATTAGGTTTATTTAGGAAATTAATTAGAGATTTGATTTGATTTTGTAGTAGGGTATTTTTGGCATTTACGCATTAGGGTTTCTTAGGTTTATTGCTCTATAAATAGAGCTTGTAATTTAGTTTGAAATCAATTCATTCACAATGTAGTCTCTTAGGGTTTTGTAGCCGTTTCGGCATTCTCATTTGTTTAATAATATTCCTATTATTTTGTAGTTTTATTTGTTGCACACTCTGATATTCAACTGATCTTCGTTCGCATGTCATACAAGTAGCCTAGATCATAACAAATTTTGGAATTTTTTCATGACAGCGAGAATGTGTCCAAGTTTCACAGAAGCAGTGAAAGCAAGGCTAAATACCGGCACAAAGGTGCTTACTGCCGGAGGACAAGAAAAAGCATTCCAGCAGACATTTGAAAGAATTACAGGAGAGAAGCTCTTACATTCATATGTTTGCTATCTATCAACTTCTCAAGGACCTGTGATTGGGATGCTGTACATCTCTAATGTACGAATAGCCTTCTGCAGTGATTTTTCACACTATTTGTCCCCAGGACATCCAACTTCCATGCATTACAAGGTAGATTTTCTACTGGACATATAATTCAAATTCTTAGGTTTATCTTTCCTCTAACAAGCTACTAAATCTCATGTAGGTGGTGGTGCAGCTTGATCAGTTAAGAACAGTAAATCCTTCAGCAAACATATGGAACCCTTCAGAAAAGTATATACACTTTGTCACAAGAGATGGTCATGAATTCTGGTTCATGTGGTTCATATCCTATGACAAGGCCCTCGGTAATCTTAGCCGAGCTATACAGCTATCTTAGAATAAATGAAGGAAACGACTAAATAACTCGAGTTAATTCAGATATGTTACGATCTTACTCGACGTCTTCTTCTTGCACAGAAAGAAGTAACAGGAAAAGGTAACAAACAATATTCTATTCACACCTTCCTCCGCTTACAATCTCACTATTTATACATGTTGTACTAATTTCTAACTAACCAACCCTCCTTTCACCCAATTCCCAACTAATTCCCATTAATTCTCAACTAATCTTGCTACCTGTCAGAGACTCCTAACAATACCCCCCCCCCCCTTGAAACCAAGCTTTCATTTCACACTCCAAAAGAAAAAATTTAGTAAGGAATTCAAAGATGAACTATTTTTGGAAACTTTAGTTTCAACTCATGATAATTCTCCCAAGTTGCATCATCCTTTGAGTGGTTTTGCCATTGGACAAATGCTTCTGTCGTTGCACTATTGCCCTTCTTCACCATTCGCCTAGCTAAGATGGCAACAGGTACATCTTGTAATATGCCAGTGTCTGTGAGAACAGGTAAAGCAATTGTGGTTTGCACTTTTTGCCCATATGCTTCTTCAAGCACGATACATGGAATACAGAATGTAACTTAGAATGATCTGGGAGTTGGATCTTGTAAGCCACATTGCCCACCTTGGCTAGGACTTGAAATGGCCCATAAAAACGAGGTTACAACTTGTGGAAAGGGTGTGTAGCCAGTGATTTATGTTGGTAAGGTACTAATCTGAGATAAATCCAATCTCCTACCTTGAAGACTCTCTTAGTTCTCTTCTTATCCGCCTGAACTTTCATCCTCCCTTGAACCGCTGCCAAGTTATTCTTAAGTAAAGATAGGATGATGTCCCTCTCCTTCAATGATTGTTCGACTGAATCCACTTTGGTTGTGCCTGACTCATAAACAGGTACTAGAGGAGGAACATACCCATACACTGCCTCAAATGGCATCATTTTAATGGCCGAATGGAAGCTGGTGTTGTAACTCCACTCAGCCCAAGATAGCCATAACACCCATTTTTTTTTTGTTGTAATGTGCAGAAACATCACAAGTAGGTTTCCAGGCACCTATTAAGAACCTCAGTTTGCCCATCCGTTTGTGGGTGATACCCCGAACTGAAACAAAGCTCAGAACCTTGCAACTTGAAAAAATTCTTTCCAAAACTTGCTCATGAACACCGGGTCTTAATCACTCACTATAGACTGTGGCATCCCATGCAGCTTGAATATGTTGTTAACAAAGTGTTGAGCCACTGTGGAAGCTATATAAGGATGACTTAATGCAGTAAAATGAGCATATTTCGATAGTCTGTCCACGACTACCCAAATCACCGTTTTACCCTTGCAAGGGGTAAGATTTGTGATGAAATCCATCGAGATATCAGACATTACCTTTCCTGGAATTGGTAATGGCTACAGAAGACCAGGGGATGACAAATTCTCATACTTTTGTTGTTGACAAATGGCACAACTTGCCACTTTACTCTTGATGTCTTTCTTCATCCTTTCCCAATAGAACGCTCGGGAAATCCTTTTGTAAGTCTTTAGAAATCCTTCATGACCAGTTGCAGGGCTCGCATGTAACTTAACAAAAACCTTATCCCTCTAAGGACTAAGTGGACTCAAAAAAATTTGATGTTTGTACTTTAAGAACCCATTGTCAATGTGGAATCTCAACATACTAATTGGAGCATCTACACCCTGAGATTGTAAGATTTGCTGTGATTTGGCCATAAGCCAGGTGTCCTTCTCATTATGCCATCGTAATTCATCTAACCAAGAAAAGTAAGGATACGAAATAGCACAGATGAAACATGTGGCCTGCAAGCTATCAACTTCATAAGTTACCCTTGATAATGTATCTGCAGCTTGATTATCACAACCCTTTTTATATTGTATTTCATAATCAAACCCTAATAACTTGGTGACCCATTTCTGTTGAAAAGGGGTATGGGCCTTACCTTCCAAAAAATACTTCAAACTGTGGTGATCTGTTTGAATAATGAAATGATTTCCCACCAAGTATGACTGCCATTTCTGTACTGCATGTATGATTGCCAACATCTCCCTTTCATAGGCTGAGAGAGCTTGGTTCCTTAGGCAAAGGGCCTTACTGGTAAATGCTATTGGTCTTCCTTCTTGTTGTAACACTGCTCCAATACCATACCCAGATGCATCACTTTCGATTACAAAGGGTTTGGTAAAATCTAGTAAAGCCAAAACTTGTGTTGAAAGGATTACTTGTTTAAGATTATTAAAGGCTGCAGTAGCCTCACTTGACCATTTGAATCCATCCTTCTTCGTGAGGGCAGTAAGGGGGCTCACTATTTTCCAAACTGAGGTATGAACTTTCGATAGTAACCTGTCAATCCAAGGAATCCCCTTGTGGTTTGACCGATATAGGTATAGGTCATCGAGCTATTGCTTCCAGCTTCGTGGGATCTGCAGATACACTATACTTGAACACTATATACCCCAAGTATTCCACTTGATCCTTACCAAATGCACATTTCGACATTTTCACAAATAAAGAGTGTTGATGCAATGTCTCCATAACCACTCTCAAATGCTGCAAATGTGAAGACCAAGAGGTGTTATAGACTAAAATATCATCAAAGAATACTAGAATGAATTTCCTTAGGTAGGGTCGAAATATGTCATACATGAGACATTGGAAGGTGGCTGGAACGCTTGTAAGACCAAAGGGCATGACCAAAAATTCATAATGGCCATCATGTGTTCTAAAGGCTGTTTTTTTTTTTTCCACATCTTAAGGGTGCATTCTTATTTGGTGATAACCTACCTTTAAATCTAACTTTGAGAAAAATTGTGTACCAAATAACTCATCAAGTAGTTCATCAATAAGAGGAATAGGGAACTTATCTTTGACTGTGATATTATTAAGCCCTCTATAATCCATGCACATCCTCCACGTCCCCTCCTTCTTTCGAACTAGGATCACAAAAGAAGAATAAGGGTTGTTACTTACCCTTATGAACCCAGCTGCTAAAAGCTCCTGCACACACTTTTCAAATTTAGTTTTCTGCACAGGACCATACCTATAAGGCCTGCTATTTGGTGGAACACTGCCCTCTACCAAAGGAATTATGTGGTCTTGACTTCAATGAGGAGGAAGAGCACTTAGTGTTAGAAATATGCCTTCAAACTTGGCCAACAATTCCTTCAATTCCAGCTGCTATTGATCTGTGAGATTCTCATAAATAGAGTTGGCAGTATGTGATGCCATGTGCTGCACATTGGGTTCAATTTCCAATTGATAAAGTACTGCACCTATGGTGGTTTCTTATTGTAACAATTTTTTCATTTCTAAAGCTGAAATATCCTCAAAACTGTTACCAACATTAGCATTACTTGTGATGCAAAATGTTCTAGTATCTCTGGAAAATTGCATGGACAGCTTATCAAAGTCCCAAAGAATAGGACCAAGCGTTCGCAGCCATTAGATCCCTAATACAATGTCACACACCCCCCCCCCCAATGGAATACATACAAATATGTAAAGAACTAGAAGTCTTGAATCTTAACAGAAGCATGAGCTAAAGTGCCTTGAGTAGCCACTTTCCCTCCATCGGCAATCTTCACATTAAACAAGTGTTTAGTATCCAATTGTTTTCGTAGCCTTTTTACCAATCCCACATCCACAAAGTTATGGGAACTACCAAAATCAATTAGTATAGTGGTTGGACAATTCTTGATCGAACCACAGACTAACATAGTATTGATGGAAAGGGGCAGGAGAACCAAATAATGCACAGGCAGTTATTTCAGGTTTTTCAGTTTCTAACTCTTCATTCTCACATATAATATCTTGCACATCAATTAACAACAATTGCTTTTTCTCACAAGTATGACCCCTAACATATTTCTCCTTACAATGAAAACAAAGACCATTTCTTCGACAATGATCTACTTCTTCGGGTGTCATCCTCCTAATATTACTAGGTTTCATCCAAGTCTCAAATGGTGAATTAGAATTGACAAATTGCAGTGGATATCAAAAATTGGGTTGAATTGAAGAGGTTTTAGAAAGAGTTTTCACCTTAAGATTTGCAATGTTAGCATCCAACTGCTGAGCAAAAAAAGTAGCTTCCAGCACATCTCGAGGCCTTAGAATCTTCACATCGTGTCGCAACTCTGGTTTCAAACCTCCCACAAAGCACGATTTCAATAGTGCAAGACTGATGTCTGTCGTCCGATTGGCCAGTCGCCGGAATTCTATCACATAATCTCTCAAAGTCCTTGTTTGCTTCAAATTAACCAAACTTTATGCAGAATCGTCCAACTCTAAATGACCAAATTCTTGGCATAAGACATGTTTCAAATCATGCCAATCTGAGTAGTTTTCCAAACATCTTGCCCATTTGAACCACGACAGTGCATCTCCTTCCATGTGAAATGATGCCATCTTGACTTTCTTGGATTCTTCGATACTGAAAAAGTCGAAGTAGTGCTCCGCCTTGTAAACCCACTCCATTGGATCATCGGACTCATTGAATCTTGGAAAATCCATCTTTAAAAATGGAGGCCGAGAGAGATTATTAAAGTTCTGCCCCGAATCTTGACAATTAGGGTCAAGGTGCAACCTTTCTTGAATCTAGGGATCGTTGTGTGTCGCCTCGAACGAATCGCCCATAATCCCGCAATTTAATCGTGTCATGATCGATTGTAGCTATAGCATCATTCGGTCCTGATTCAATTTGAGATCAGACTGAATCGATCGAAACTCCTCATTCGATTTCTTGAATTCGTCGAACTTATCTTTCAAGCTTGATACTCTGGACTCCATAGATTTCCTCGAAACTTGTTGCGTCATGTAACAAAGAAGGAGTGAGAGAGCGGAACGACTGGTTCGATACCAATTGTTACAATCTTACTCGAAGTCTTCTTCTTGCACAGAAAGAAGTAACAGGAAAAGGTAACAAACAATATTCTATTCACAACTATTTATACATGTTGTACTAATTTCTAACTAACCAACCCTCATTTCACCCAATTCCCAACTATTCCCACTAATTCTCAACTAATCTTGCCACCTGTCAGAGACTCCTAACAAGATAGATTGGAATGTAAAACGTTAACACCACTTTAAAGTGTAAGTACACTTTCCCATGATCTATTTTGCTCATATGCCATTTTCTACAACTTTTTATGAAAGCCTAACATTCCTAAAGTTAGTTGAAGCTTTATACACAAGACACAGAAAAACAGAATATCTTTAATCAACTCCCTAGCAAGTATAATATTCATTTAGAAAAGCATTAATCTTGGGAAATTATTTCAGCACATGCCTTTCTCCTTCTGCACATCCTTGTGTATTTCTGTCTCTTGATTATGCTTTCATTTGTTTGATCCAAAAGCCAGAAATACAAAGGCATTTGTAAGAAGAGAAAAGAGG